GGACGTTGTTCCAAAAATCTGCCGTCTCAGGTGCGTCGTAGACACGAACGTTATTCACAATCTTCCGATGAGCTCTTGTGACGAGTCCTCAAGCGTTGCAGGAATCGCGCAACAGGGACTTCATGGCCTGGTTGTCGAAGGCACAGAAGTGCAAGGGAGGGGCAGGTCAGGGTAATGAGGGGTGGGGGGGAGAGGATTAGGAGGATGAAAGGATGCTGAGAGGCCAATACGGAGAATGAGGAGCAGGGAGGGTGAATGAGGGGTGGGGAGGGAGAATGAAGGGGTGGGGAGGGGAATGAGAGGCAGGAAGGGAAAAGTGGGGTGAGGAGAGAGAATGAGGGCCCGGGAGGGAGAGGGAGGGGTGGGGGACAGAGAATGAGGTGCAGGGATGGATCATGAGGCACAAACAATGGAAATGAGGGGCAGGCAGGGAGAGGGAGGGGTGGGGGACAGAAAATGAGGTGCAGGGATGGATCATGAGGCGCAAACAATGGAAATGAGGGGCAGGCAGGGAGAGGGAGGGGTGGGGGACAGAAAATGAGGTGCAGGGATGGATCATGAGGCGCAAACAATGGAAATGAGGGGCAGGCAGGGAGAGGGAGGGGTGGGGGACAGAAAATGAGGTGCAGGGATGGATCATGAGGCGCAAACAATGGAAATGAGGGGCAGGCAGGGAGAGGGAGGGGTGGGGGACAGAAAATGAGGTGCAGGGATGGATCATGAGGCGCAAACAATGGAAATGAGGGGCAGGCAGGGAGAGGGAGGGGTGGGGGACAGAAAATGAGGTGCAGGGATGGATCATGAGGCGCAAGCACAGAGAATAAGGGGCAGGGAGGGAGAATTAGGGGAGGGGGAAAGGGGATGAGGAGCAGGGAGGGATGTTGACTGGCAAACAATGAGAATGAGGGGTGGGGGATAGGGAATGAGGGGCAGGTTGAGAGGATTCAGCCGCAAATCCTGAGAATGAAAGGCAGGGAGGGAGAATGGGGGGTGGGGGAGAGGGAAAGAGGTGCAGGGAGGGATGATGAGCCGCAAATCGTGAGAATGAAAGGCAGGGAGGGAGAATGGGGGGTGGGGGGAAAGGGAATGAGGTGCAGGTGAGATATCCGAGGCGCAAACCGTGAGAGTGAAAGGCAGGGAGGGATATTGGGGGGTGGGGGAAAGGGAATGAGGTGCAGGTGAGATATCCGACGACTAACCTTTAGGCTGTCACAGAAGTGATATTTCAGAAGCGCCTTCCCCGCGATCCGGCACTCGCCACTTTGCCATGATCGGTCCGTGTTGACAGCCTTGGTCGCCACATGTTTGTATAAGTCTCGAAGCGTTTTCCAGCCGCAAACCTCGCCAAATCGACCGCCGCTTTTGTTGAGAATCCGCAGCAACGCCGCTACAGCCCGTTGAGACAACTTCTCGTTTAAAACCCATCGACATAGTTCATCCTCAAAGGAGAACGGCGTCGGAGGACTAGGCTCCGCATCCTGTCCCGAGCGCGAGGGCCCCACGTCAGGCATCGCAGCACGTTCATGAGAAGGAGATGGCGGCTCCTCAGAGTCTGAGCTATCCTCGCACACGGGCCTATCATCGTCGATTGGAGCTCGAGGACTCATAGTTTCATCAAACGTTTGAGGCAAGAACGGGTCCTCCCGGGCCATTGGGCGAAAAGTGCTCGGAAGACATGTGCCAATCTCATCGTTCCCTGCACCATCGCTGGCGGGTCTGCACGCCGCATTGCTGGCTTGCGCCAGCCTGCATTGATTGCTTCCTACGTGTCTTCGAAGGCCTCCATTACCTACAAAGGGGCCTGAACCGCATTCTTTGCAATAACCTGAGGGTAATTCGTCCATGAATACGCTGCGCCGTTCCTACAACTACGACTTAAAACTGGATCTGTAATGAAATTGGCTGAGATTTTGTGACTGAATCTGAATGATGTAGCTGCTCTGGCGTCTTTGATTGCATTAGTTGCAAGGCAATGACATGCAGCAGCATTCACTGAGGGTTGCGTCAATTTCATTTCACATTTGCGAAATACCCACCCCGACCACTCTGAAAAACAGCGCAACCGATGTATAACGTGTGACATCTCATTCAACCGTTTTCAAACGAACGAAAAAGACCCGCCCCATCCTTCCGAATTAACAATTCGGAAATTTCAGGAAGAATGTGCGCCTCGATTTTGAATGTGTTGAATTTGTGAAGAGAAATTTAACGCGCCCCGATGAAATGTGGTTCATTTTTCGCCCTTTTCTCCGATTGGCTAGCTTGACGTTGCGACCAACGGGAAGTCGTCACTGGCGGGCAGCCTCGTTGGCGACTTCGCCAACGAGTCAATTCAAGTCATGTATATGTGTGACAAATTGAGTCGCGACGAAATTTGAACAAGCGACTTCGCCAACCCCATCGCGCAATAGACGCGTCGCAAGTCACATTTGGAACGGTCAGGAATGCCAATTCACCTGCCCGCACTTAAAACGTCGTTAAGAGCCAAGTCTCGAGCGCACGGTTTCCACAAAAAATATCATAACAAGTACCTTCAGAAAGTATTGACGCTCCTGAGTATCAACCGTAAACGGCCATAACATAAAACGAACCGCGTGGCTATTGGTCAATTTCCCAACGTCTAAAATTGTAACGTTAATTGTAAGTTTAGACCACATTAAACAATACAAGGAAAACGTTACAAAATAAATAAAGAAAAACTGCCTGTTATCTCATAACGGTACATCTCATATGAAGGTGATCGGTGAGCATCGCAACCGTCAGATCAAAGCAACCACAAACAGTTATACATCCGAGGGTAGTTTACGTGCTGCATTCGGATTGAGCCGAAGAGATCTCGCTTGCAAGGTGGGCCGTTGATCCGAGAAGATCGAACGCCACATAACAAAATTGAAATCACACCCCCCAGGTCATTTACGTGCTCCTCGCAACGATGCCCCAACCAGTGCGCCGCGAACCATCTCACGAATCACAATTTTGATCTTGACCGTTGCTCAAATCGCTTGGAATTTCATCCGTCGATCAAGCGCCTGCACATTCCACGAAGCAACCAAAGAGATTTTCTCGAACACGCAATTGGCAAAACAGGGTTCATCGGCATCGCAAAATTGCCGAAGTGCCCCCACAAACTGGCACAGCATGTATACAACTATTTATGACGCTCTGAAACCATCGAGAAAAGTGCGTCAGTAGGCTAGACCATCTACAACAGGCTCAAGATTTTTGCGATGTCTGGCTGGATACCCATACCCTTCTGACCATGATCCGCTACCGGCGGTAAGATAAGATCATGGTCAAAATACGGTATGCTAGCCAGTTTGATGAGTGCGTGGCTTGTTCTTGGACATGATCCACTAGAATCGTCAGGGCGTGTTTCAAACATTTGTCTAGAAAGGGGGCTTTAAAACATTTGCAGGGGCAAATGATCTTTGGGGTAGCTGCTGTTGGTTCAAGTCGTCGTGCTTTTAGGTTGCTGATACTGCACTGGCCATTGTCTCACCTTGCGACGCCTCAATATTAGGCTGGGAGTTGACCAGGACGGGCGTGGCAAGTTGAAGGACGGCGAGGCACCATGCGAGTGTCAGCGCACGCTGCACCCATCGCTCTACCACTAGTAGCTCCATGATTTCCTACACCGCCGCCGCGAATTGGGCCGGCAGACCAGGGTGGAGCGCTGCACTGCGCCACCCCGCGCTCCGCATTTGTAACGCTGCCTCTTGGCCAAACGCACTACACTGCGCCTCTCCGCAGCGCTGACTCGGGCCAAACGCGGCGGCCCCGGCACAAGGCGGCACTGTTTCGCGCTCCGCCGCCACGAGAGCCAAGCTGCTCGCGAGTGCTCTGCTTTCTCATGCTCGCACTGCTTGCGAAAGCTCTTGGCGGTTGCTGCCACGGGCGGCCCCCGGGCCATGAAATTCAGGGCGCACGAGTTTTTAGACGCCTCAAAACCCGTGGATGAAATTCAGGCGCGCGAGTGAGCTACGTGGGGCCGGCGGGGCTGATGATGGGGTCGTTGAACGCGGTGGGAAATGGAGTGGCATCGCTGTTTTGACAAGGGCGGAAAGCACCAGAAATGTGACATTTCAGTGACTTTTGCGTGAAAGTTTTGCATCACGGAAAGGTCACGGTTAGAAGTGCCAAGTCACGGGAACATCATGTTGGAGTTCCGAGATTTCTTACAGAAAGTCCCAGAAATGTGCCTGGCGAAGTGATGTTCTCGTCACTTCTTGTCACTTTTTTGTTTCATATGCCACGTGGCAAAGTGGCGTTATAACTCTCTAGATATTTTGCCAGGTGTCCATGTTGGTGATTGGCCAAAATAGACCAATCAAATAATAGTGATGGGGGTGCCTAAATGTAATTTGATTGGCCAGCGATTCGGAGCAGCGACCGCATATCGCACACGAAACACACCTTCTCATTACGCACGTCGGGACGTTTATTGGAGATTTGCAATAATGCATTATTAACTCAACACGTACATTCACATATCATCACAAACTCAGGCCTGCAGGATTTCACGTCCATATGGACAGATAGCTAACCAGATCTACATTTAAAACCGAAATATAGAATAGTGAACCCCGTCCCAGCTTGAAAGGATTTTCCCGGGTGGGTTTGCAAAGCACTATTTCAAACATTTCGTGTGTGCAGATCGAGCCTATTTGATTGGCTCCCGCCAAAAACGAAATTTCTAGGCCTTACACAAGGAGTCGCATTCAACATGATGCACCCGCACGACGGCTGTACGGCGATCATTGCGATCGTTGGGCCCAACTCCAACTTCAAGCTGGACCTGGGTTCAGCTGCTTCTTTCCACTCTAGTCTCTATTTTAGCCAAGCTTAGAATAGTTGAAAACGTAGGCATTTTTGCCTAGGTAACTACCATTTTATAGATTTAATCTACATCCTTCTATTCGTGGCCTAGTGACGAGGGATCTTACGCGTCTCGTAGCGATACTTGCCTCGAGTTTTTTCGGTTGAACGCGTTCGCCGCCGAAATGCCCTTTCGTCGCTCAGCTTATCATCTTCACATTCGTGTGGAATTGCCCTTGCGCCGGCCTTATTCCGTCCCCCCCTGCACATCACCCACCTCTTCGCATTCGCGCTTGCCTCGAAACATTCTCTCGTCTCCCACCCCGTTTTTCCCATTTCGTTCCATCGCTTACGAGCTCTCCCCTCCTGTCCTGTCGCCCTCTCTCTCGCCCCTCCATTCCCGTCGCGCTCTCTCTCTCTCCGCGCCCTTCTTGTCGCCCTCTCTCTCGCCCCTCTCATCTCGTCGCGCTCTCTCTATCCGCGCCCTTCCCATCGCCTCCCTTCCCATTGCGCGCTCTCTCTCCCCTCCCTTCCCGTCGCCCTCTCTCTCGCCCCTCTCATCTCGTCGCGCTCTCTCTATCCGCGCCCTTCCCGTCGCCTCCCTTCCCGCCGCCCTCTCTCTCTCCCCTCCCTTCCCGTCGCCCTCTCTCTCCCCCTTGACAAAATACTAGCGTGAGTTAGGCTTAGGAGCCATTGCTAGTGAGTGTCTTAGTAGCTTAGGTTTAGGGTTGAAGATGAATGTCGAGAAAGTTGAAAGGAGAGAATGGAGTTTCACTAGCAAGAGTTGGGATACAAGTACAACACCCTAAATTGGGTTGTACTCATTACACAGTACCCCACTGCAGGCTAGACAGCAAATACATTCTGACACACCCCCATAGCCAAAGTGGGGTGTAATCAGCACAATGAGCAAGCATAGAGCAAGAGTTCACAATAGGTAAATAAGGCTAGAGCTAATTACAGAGGGCAAGTGAGGAGGAGGAGAGACTGTGGGGGAGAGAAGATGGGAGGCGACTGCTGACGCTGCAGACACACAGACGAGCTGCTGGCTCAGTAGCTACCGGAACAGCGCTCCGGACTACTGGGGTAACTGGCCCCGCGGCTAAAAGTAGCCGCAGACGAGCAACGGACCCACGGACGACTCGCGACTACCGGAGATTGTAGCCTCCGGACTGCTGCTGCTGCTGACGACAAGACTGCTGCCTCCACTCAACCTCCCCCAGCTGCCCAACGCCCCTCTCACACACCCCCTGCTCAAACCCTAGCCCTACACCCACAGCACCCCCTTAAACCCTAAACCCCAGAATCCCACACATCCACCCCCCTCAGCGAGAGCTGCAGCAGTGGGAGACGAAGGAGGAGGAGGAGGAGGGAACGGCACGCACAACTGACACCCCCACAACCATCACCCCCACACCCACCCCCCCACGGCTGCACCGGGTCCAGGAGCGGCTGCTGCAGGGGCCAGGGGCGGCTGCTGCTGGGGCGGCTGCTCCAGGGGCTACTGCTGCTGGGGCGGCTGCTCCAGGGGCTGCTGCTACTGGGGCGGCTACTCCAGGGGCTGCTGCTGCTGGGGCGGCTGCTCCAGGGGCTGTTGCTGCTGGGGCGGCTGCTCCAGGGGCTTCTACTTCTGGGGCGGCTGCTCCAGGGGCTGCTGCTGCTGGGGCGGCTGCTCCAGGGGCTGCTGCTGCTGGGGCGGCTGCTCTAGGTGCTACTGCTGCTTGGGCGGCTGCTCTAGGGGCTGCTGCTGCTAGGGCTGCTGCTGCTGGGGCGGCTGGTGCTGGGGCGGCTGCTCCAGGGGCTGCTGCAGCTGGGGCGGCTGCTCCAGTGGCTGCTGCTGCTGAGGCGGCTGCTCCAGAGGCTGCTGCTGCTGGGGCGGCTGCTCCAGGGGCTGCTGCTGCTGGGGCGGCTGCTGTAGTAGCGGCGGCTCCAGAGGCTGCTGCTGCTGAGGCGGCTGCTCCAGCGGCTGCTGCTGCTGGGGCGGCTGCTCCAGGGGCTGCTGCTGCTGGGGCGGCTGCTCCAAGGGCTCCTGCTGCTGGGGCGGCTGCTTCAGGGGCTGCTGCTGCTGGGGCGGCCACTGCAGTGGCGGCGGCTCCAGGGGTTGCTACTGCTGGGGCGGCTGCTCCAAGGGCTGCTGCTGCTGGGGCGGCTGCTCCAGGGGCAGCTGCTGTTGCAAGGCAGGCCCCTCCTGGGGCGACTGCTTCACGGGCGGCGGCTCCAGGGGCGGCTGCTGCAGCGGAAAGTAGGAGGGAGGGAAGGGGAAGGACGCGGCCCCCATTGTGCCCTGACGGGCGATGTGCTAGGGAGCCGCGCAGGTCCCCAAAAGTGCCTCGACTGGCAACAAGAGGGGACCGCGCGCAGGCCCCTAAGGCGCCGCGACGAGGCAACGGGAGGGGCCGGCTCGCGGGCCCCGAAAGTGCCGCGACGAGGCGACGGGAGGGACCTGCGTACGGGCCCCCAAAACACCTCGACGAGGCGACGGTCGGGGCCAGTGCGCGGACCCCTAAGACGCCGTGACGAGGTAGGAACCCGCCGCGCGCCTCGGGGCGCACGACGGGCAGAAAACCGCCACGCGCTCCGAGCGCGTGGCGGGAAGAAAAATGGGATGTTGCGCGCCACGGGGCGCGCGACACACAGTAGGGCAGCGGAATCGAGTGGGCCCACAGGCCAGGAACGTTGAGCTCTGATAACATGAGAAAGTAGTAGACAGAAGTAGGAGCCATAGCTAGGAGAGTCCTAGCTAGGCAAGAGACAGTTTAGGCAAAAGAGGATTGCACTAGCAAGAATGGGGATACAAAAAGCAAACCCTAGAAGGGTTGTACTCGCTATAGAGCATCCCACTACAGGCTAGAGCATAACATTCTGACACCCCCCTCCCTTCCCATCGCGCTCTCTCTCTCCGCTCCCTTCCCGTCGCCCTCTCTCTCGCCCCTCCCTTCCCGTCGTGCTCTCTCTCCGCGCCCTTCCCGTCGCCCTCTCTCCCGTCGCCCTCTCTCCCATCGCCCTCGCTCTCTTCTTCGCTTTGTCCCGGCGTTATATATATGCTTGCCTTCCGGCGAAGTGCTCTTTCGCCTCTCGCGCGATCGTTACGGTTCCTGTCACTGTCCGCACCACGAAACGCTCTCCAGTAGTCGCCATCGCGCTCCTCTCTACCCGCGCCATCGCCCCTCCCTTCCCTTCCCCACGATATTGCCATCACCCTTTCCTTTCGATCAGCGTACCTTTATTCCATCCCGTCTCGTCGCCCTCAAGAACTCCCCTACCTTCGCGTCTTCTTGTTGTTCTTCCATCCCCTTTCTTCGCCCTCGGTGTTGTCAGAATGTTATCTTATGCTCTAGCTTGTAGTGGGGTGCTCTATAGCGAGTACAACCCTTCTAGGGTTTGCTATTTGTATCCTCATTCTTGCTAGTGCAGTCCTCTTCTTTCTTCTAAATTTTCACATGGTATCAGAGCGAGTCGATCCCCTTGGATCGATCCTGTGGGTGGGCTTACCACCTCCTTGCTTCCGCTGCAACTACTACTACTACTCTCTGAGCCGCACACCCCGTGACGTGCGGCAGTTTTCTTCCCGCCGTGCGCCCCGAGGCGCGCGGCGGTTTTCTGCCCGCCGTGCGCCCCGGGGCGCGCGGCGGTTCTCTGCCCGCTGTGCGCCCCGAGGCGCGCGGCGGGCTTCTGCCCCGTCGTTCGGCGCGTCGCCCTCTAGAGGCGCCGCGACGGGCGACGGGGACCCGTGCGTCGCCCCCCGTCGCCCGTCGTGGCCTACGCGCGGCCCGTACAGGCAGCGCGCGGCCCGTACGGGCTGCGCCAGGCCCACGCGCGGCCCGTACGGGCTGCGCCAGGCCCGCGCGCGACCTGTATGGGCGGCGCCAGGCCCGCGCGCGACCCGTACGGACGGCGCCAGGCCCGCGCGCGGCTCGGGCCGCCTGCGCGTGGCTTGGGCGTCTGTACCAGGCCCGTGGTGGGCCTGTTCCTCGCTGCCCCTGCCCTCCCCGCTATCCCCCAGTGCTTCTACTGGCGCCCCACCCCTCCTACTCCCCATTCTCCTGAATTAGGGTTTGGGGGTGAGGGGTATGGGGGTGACCTCACTGTGTGCCGTTCCCTGCTCCTCCTCCTCCTCCGTCTCCCTGTGCTGCAGCTGTCGCTGAGGGGGGGTGGACGTGTTGGAGCCGGTGGAGTGGTACTAAGGGGGGGTGAAGAGGGAGTGGAGCTAGCGGTGTAGCAGCGGGTGTGTGCCAGGGGGAGTGGGATAGTTTGGGGAAGTTGAATGGAGGTTGCCGTCGTGTCGCGAGCAGCACCTGTAGTCCGGGGAGTTGCTCCGGTAGCCCAGTCGTAGCCAGATGTGCCAGCCGCCCGTGGGTACGTTGCTCGTCTGCCGCTGCTTTAGCCGCGGGGCCAGTTACTCAAGTATTCCGGAGCGTTGTTCCGGTAGCTGCTGTGCCAGTGTGCCTCCTGTTGCCCGTGTGTCTGCAGCTTCAGCCGTCGCCTCCTATCTCCTCTCCTCTCATTCTCTCTCCTCCTCCTCACTTGCCCGTTGTGACTACCACTAGCTTTGCTCATAATTGTGAACTTTAAACTATTGCTTCTTGAACTTGTGCTCAGAATGTGTGGTGACATTGTGATCCACCGTGAGCTTGTATTGCTTTGCTTGCTCTGCTGATTACACCCCACTTTGGCTATGGGGGTGTGTCAGAATGTTATCTTATGCTCTAGCCTATAGTGGGGTGCTCTATAGCGAGTACAACCCTTCTAGGGTTTGCTATTTGTATCCTCATTCTTGCTAGTGCAGTCCTCTTCTTTCTTCTAAATTTTCAGAGGTGTCTCCGCTCCCCTCCCGTCTTTCTTCCTCTCTCCGCTCCCCTAACGTCGCTCTTCCCATCTCCGCTTCCATTCCCGTCCTTGTTCCTCTCGCCCTTGATCTTTTCCGTCGTTGTTCCTCGCTACCGTCCTCTCCCCTCCCCTTGTTAATATTCAAGGCCCTAGATTCGTTTTAGGACACGCTGTTGGGTCAGAGTACACCCTCATCTAAACTCTGTCAGTCAGACTTGCATGCAATATGAAGTCTGAAAGTTCAGACTTCACTATTTTTTTTGGCTGAAATTTCAGAGTTACACTAAGTTTGTAGGCTGCCGGTTTTATATACATTGAAAACACTTCAACTATCTGAATCAGATTCTATCACATGTGACACTACTCCAGCTGCCGGCTGAACTACTGGCTCCTCTACAGCCTCCTTCCCAGCTCTCTGGGGCTCCCTGTGTCTTGCAGCAGGTGCCGTCATTGGCCGCCGTTTCTTATAGTTGCGCCAGATCTCTACAACCCCCGGCACGTCCAGTTCATAGTCTAGCATAGACATACACAGCAAATCACTGAGCCTACAGTCTTTTAAACCACCCCTCTGCCACGTCTTGATGAGATTCTGGCGAGAGAATCCTCTCTCGCACTCGACGGTGCTGAGAGGCAGCACTGCAACCGCCACCCAGAGTCTGACGAGGTTGGGGTAGGCTTGCTCCCAATCATGTGTCTTGAGGATTGCAGTCAATCCCGTGTTGAACTTGCGCTCGCTCTTAGGGGCTCTGGCCAGGACTGGGCACAGAGTTCGCAGCTCCTTCACGGCACGCTTCTTGTCAATGCCTGCAACATAGGACACGGCGAGGGATTAGTACGGAGCGGTTTAGCCAACAGTCGAACGAGCATCACTTCACTAACTGACCTGGCAAAATCTCTTCGCAATCGTCGGCGCGGAACAGAGTGACTAGCGACAACAGCCACTCAAGGCACTGTGCATGCCGTGCACTCCTCTCCCAACTCGGAGGCCACTCGTTAGGTATGAATAGCCGCACGCCAGACAGAGAGTCGAGGTCTCCGAGCTTAGACTGAAGCTCCTCGACAAGGCCCTCGGCAAAGTCAGTGCAGAGCGCCACACACGCATCGTGATGGCCCGCCCCGAGATAGTTCGCCACTCGGCGCTCGTGAAGGGTGATCTTGAAGCGGTTGAGACTCCCATCCGACGACGCGCCTTCCACCACCATCTCTGGTGTCTCCTGCGGCCCATGCTTCTCGATGAAGCCGCTCGTTATGCCCGCCGCCGAAGTCATCTCCGCAGTCGATGTACCGACTCTCCAGGAGAGATGTTGTGCGCACAATCTGTGTGTGCACCAATGGGTAGTCGAGCTGCCACATCATAATGAAGTTTTAGTTAGAGCACGGTTTCCGGCTTAAGAAAAACACAACATTACTCAACTTTCGTACCTCACGATGCTGGAAAACCTTCGAGAGGATGTTGAGGAGGTCCAGAACGTCCGCGAGGAACCGAAGCAGAAACTGAAACCGGTAGGACGTGACGAGCTCGTACATCGTCTGGTCCTTCCACTCTGACAGCATCACCATGATGGCTGGGAGGACCTCGACGAAGCGGGCGACCGCAACACCCCTTGAAAGCCACCACACCTCGTGGATCCCTTGCACCTCGAGGCTGGTGGAGGTAAATACCTCCTGCAGGTCCATGAACCGTTGATGCCACGGTGATGATCGCCCCAGGTACTCAGCGACAGCACGGATTACGTCGTCCACCATGTTGAAAGTGGGTATAGACTCTGCAGCGGCTTTGGCAGCCAATGCCTCCCTGCAAGACGTACAAACAAGCATGATTAGCATCGTATGTTACTGTTAAACGACTAAACAAACAATAAAACAACAACAACAACGCACCTGTGAGCGATGCAGTGGAACGAAACCAGGTTGGGGATGAGCATCCGAAGACGAGCCACCACACCGGTGTGGACTCCCACCATCACCATCGCGCCGTCCGTGCTCACTCCCGAAATACGGCGGAGGTCCACGCCGACAGCCCTGATGTGGGAGAGCAGCAAACTACATAGGGATGCAGCGTCAGCTTTCTCAACCATGAGGTGAGCAAAGAACTCAGTCACAACTTGCTTGTCGCGCAGGAAGGTTGCAAACACGATCATGTGTTTGCCGCGCCGCCTGTCTGTGCTCTCGTCCAGGGTGATCCCGATGAAGGGGCTCGTCAGAAGATGTTCCAGCTGTGTTGTTTGGAGCCATGTTGAAATTGCATGTGTTAACTCTCCAAAGCCGTACCTGTATGAAAAAAACTAGACCAGAGGCAGTTAGCGACTATGAGTTAGAAGAAATCAATGATTCGGTGGTTACAACCGCAATAAACTTACGTGTTGTAGTACGTGCCGTAGCCCTGCTCTGGAAAGCCGGGCACCTTCTTCTTCGCGAGATAGCGCACAAGCCGAATCCAAGCGTCCATGAGCTCGTTGCACGAGCTCATGAAGTACAGCGACTCCACTAGCGCCGAGATCTCCAACATCTCCTTGTCCTGCGCTTTCGGGTGTAGGTCGATGCGATGTTGATCGCCATACTTCTGGAGGAGGTCCTCGTGCCGCTTCAGTGCAAAATGATGCTTCACCATGCCTTCATGCTTCTTGAAGGCCTGCGTCTGCACGTCGGTCGCGCCCTCACCACCCCGTCCACACTTGCCTGTAAGTCTTGCAAACTCCAGGCAAATGCTGCACTTAAAACTTGGGGCACCAGTAGAGGTTTTAGTTAGAATAAGCCAGTCGTAATCGGTAGACCACTTTGTTTTAAAACGAAAGTGTGCTTCTTCGAATTTCAACTCAAACTTATCGGAGTCAGACTTGTCGGTGGGCTTTGAGCTGCCCTGCATGGGAGATTCGACTCTCGCTGGAGCTTCAACGGTCGATGGAGGAGGAGTTGCCCACGGAAACGTGGTCTGACGGTAACGCAGCTTCGACGGTGGTGCGGGACGGGATGGTGCTTCAGCGGACGCCTCATTGGGCACAGACTGTGGCGCAGCTTCGACCGGTTCAGTGATGGCTGTGGGGACAGGTTCAAGTTGAACGGAAACTGGAGGACGGCTAGAGCTAGGTTGCGACGGTGGAGTAGTCGGTGGGACATGCGTCGGCAAGCATGCTCGTAGAAAGTCCAGGCCGGTCACTGCGTCTGACGCAGGCCGTCGATCTGTCTCGTCATCATCGTCGGGCGATTCGGCGGCAGCGCCTGTGGCTGCCATGAGTCTGCCAAGCACTGGTTTTGCGAGAGCGAGGGAGAGTCAGAAACAAGGGTTTCAGCAATACTATCTGGCGAAGAAATTGAATGAGGCGAGAGAAACAGGGCACAGAGTGACCCCCACGAAGGGCGACGATGAGGAAGATGAGGGGTCCTCGTATTTGGATCGCTCATCTCCTTGCTGGTCACTGCACTGCATGCACGGCACCTGGTCGTGAGTGCAGGGAAGGTGGGGTGACTGGGGTGGATGGATGTGGTCACGTGAGAGCTGCAGCGCGCTGCGAGCTATGCGTTGGCACGGTGGACGTTGCAGGGGGGTGGGTGGTTGTGGTGTTGTCCGGGTGCAAGCTATGCGTTGGCAGGGAATCTTGCCAACACTGCCTGCTGCGCTGTAGCGATTGGCTGGAATTGAGCCAGATTACAGCATCCCTGGCCCAACGCGACTGTGCGGTACGGTGCCGCGCTCGGGAAATGTTCCGTTTCCCGCCCGTGATTGACGGTGTTAGTGCAAACACGCCGCCAGGCTGGCGGACCCCTGCAGTACCCGTTTCATAGTGCACCCCCGAAACGTGGCTGAGGCTCAGCCTACACCCCTACATTTTGTCTTAAATTCAGCCACTACATTAAAAAAAACTCTAACAAATCAGAGAATGTACATTAAAAAAATCTTACAGTTCAGACCTGGTACCTAAAAAATGTCTGAATGGACGCTAAATCAGCGTAAAAAGTCTGATATCTAGGGCACTGTTAATATTGTTCTAAACATTCTCCTAAACAGTCTCGTTGCATGTGTGAGGGTTGTCGGAACTGCTTGTGTCATTGCATCACGCAAAGCTTCTGGTACATTGACTGGTACATTCACTGGAAAAATTGGAAGCTTTGCACGTCGTGCAGCCTTGCGCCAAAATCGCACATGTATGTGCGAGAAAGGTTGTCACCAATCAGAGTTCATGAATACCGTATGACCCAATCGCTCCCCCTTCACTTTGAGGCAAACTCTGGTGTTGAAAGAAAATCTCACACGTAACTTCCAACTTTCCGTTTTCAAGTTGGACCCAACTAGAAGGAGGGGGGGTCACTATTTTAGCTGCTGGCTTTAAGCCTAGTTACGAACTAAGCCAACCAGATGAGGTCGGACGGAACTTGATGACACCAGCAAATTCAAACACGGAACGGTTTGGTGCCTGCATAAAAAAAGGCCGAACGTTATGGAACCTGCAGTCGAGACAACAGCAAAAGATCGTGACACGTGAGAGAATAAAAGAAATAACAAAGAGAACAGCTCAACGAATAAAACAGGCGACGGTGTGACAGCTACGAATAAAACAGAGGCAAAGATACTCACGCCCTTAGAGATACACAAGCCAGGTTAGCAAAGACCCCTCGCGCAGCTCCAGCGCTCCCTCACACACCAAAGGCCGCCTAGAATGGAGCCTCGTGCGAGCCGGTCTGCACGACGTGCCCTCGCTGCAGCACGGCGATGAAGTGCGCGCGGCGCACGGAGAGGCGATGGGCGACGATAAGCATGGTGCGTGCGCCCATGAGCGCATGATGCGCAGCCTGCACCGCCTGCTCGCTCTTCGCGTCCAAAGCCGACGTCGCCTCGTCCAGCAGCACCACCTGCGGATTCCGCAAAATCGCCCGCGCGATTGTCACGCGCTGCTTCTGCCCCCCGACAGCTGCGTACCTCGCTCCCCCACCTGCGTCTCATACTGCAGAAGGAGGGGGAGGGTAAGGAGGGAAGAGAGCGGTAAGATAGGGAGTGCGAGCCCGGGGTATGGGAGGCGGAAACGGAGGGTAAGGACGGAAAGCAGTCTGAGGAGCAGGGGAAAGAGGGAGAGACGGAGTGTGAAATAGAAAAAAAGCAAAAAAGCAAGATACTTACTATTATAGCAGTGTAAGTTTTTCAAATGCAGCTAAACGGATTAAATTTTTACATCAAACACATTTAATTGGGTCTAAGTTGACACAATATGTTCTTTGGCGTCGAGCTTTTCTTTTGATTCAAGAAGGAAAACATGTGGATCCGCATATAAGAAATACAACTTTTCGACGGTTGAAAAAAGCAATGGACGGACGAAGGAGAGGAGCGAGCGCACTTAAGTCGGCCAGCGAGGGGTACGCAAAGGTCACCTCGCACAGCTCCATCGCTCCCTCACACGCCAGGCTAACCTTGAAAATGGAGGGGAGGGCAGAAACAGAGGGAGATATACGCAGGTGCAATTCACAAAGGCAAAAATACGATTACCGCCGGGTGTGGAATCAAGACAGGCATAAACACAAGTAGCGACACTGCACTAACTGAATCTGTCCTCCAAAGCGACTGCCTGGGCGGCGGCTTCCCGTCGCTAAGCGTGCGGGGGCTTGTCATGCGGAGATTACTACGGGAGGGGGGGCGGGGGGGGGGGGGGGGGGAAAGGGAAGTTGGGAAAGTAGGGAGGAAGCCGAGGGGGGTACATTCGGAGTGAGATATGCAGTCGTGAGTAGGTTTAGATAAGAAAAAACAAAATAAAGGACCCGAAGTGTATGGACCGGGTGCGCAAGCTAGCTTCAGAATTTGCTAGCCCCTAGTAGCAGATATGAGATATTGGTGATGACGAATATAAAAAACCGGAGCACTTGGACGGAGAAACATAGAGCGTTGGAGGGTGTCTATATCTTGCGTGGAGCGACGAATATCTAGTCGGGAGAAAGACTAACTGCTGAGAACGTGGGTGGCATAGCATTTGTATGGCGGGGTGGGGGTTGGGTGGAGGGGGTGGGAGGATGAGGGGTTGAAAGAGGTTTGAAGTTCGGTATGCTGATGTGTAAGGGAGGCTGTGAGTGCTGATTATGGTTTTGTGGACCACCACGATTGGTTGGGATGATTCGTAAGGCTCGGCTGATTAGGTTCGAAAAGTTGGGAGATATGGGAGGTTACTAACTCCATCCCTCGGCCCATGCCTCACATTTCTACCACAGCAATACCCTGGAAAAAAAACAAGAGGCGACAAAGTCGGCCTAGGGTTGCGAAGCTTTTTTAATGGATGTATAGCGCATAATAATAATCTCCCTGTCTTGGAAGATTGTTTCCAGTTGATTAATTGTGGATGAAATATAGAAAGCTGCTGAGCTTTATGCATTTTGATTGTAATAAGGAAGTGGAAAAAAACACTCAAAAAAACACTCTAAAACTCCAAACCCACAACACAAGTACATTTGTTATCAAAACTACATTTTAGATGAGTACCTTAATATCCTCATGTAAACTCGAAAACGAAAATCGCAGCCAGCGCACATCAAACGCCAAAGAGATTTGTTCACCCGACCTCTGGTTTCGAACGTGAAAGCCAATCCACTACGACAAACCAGACGTTCGATAGAAGTGAACAATTTATCACACCAAGTTTTTTTTTGACAAAAGACACAACAGCTTAGGATTTCGTATCTCCTTTCTGCGTTGGTGCCTTGCAGTTCCAACTTATCCCTGCCTGCTCCAGCGACCTCCTCAACCACTTTACTCAGCTATTACTACCTAGGTGAGCATTATTTCTAGACTTAAGTAGAGTAGATTAATTAGTCTTAGTCGCTATCATCTGTTTCAGCCTTTCGATTTAGCAAATAGCTGCTTTTCTAGCGCATGCAATCATATAGACGAGCCCCAGGTCGTTATTTGTTTCGATCCTGCACGTTGCAACGTGCAAGCTCTTTGTACGTTGCTTTTCTTTTTGTTAATAACAAAGGCGCCACTACGTCAGTTTTCCTAACGCACATGCGTCATTCACTCGTAGTTAGGTGAGCTCGTTGTTTACCTATGGAAGTCACATCCGTTGTATAGCTTATCTTCTTCTCTTCTTTTTATCATTTTCTTTGTTTGTTTTCTTTTCTTTTCTTTTCTCCTTCTGTTTTTGTCCCCTATGCTCTATAGGTATATGTCGAAACCGTGGCTACGGGACTTCCGCTAGGTAAGCTCCTAACTTGCAACTTAAAATCGTTCGATATGTATGTTTGTTAGGTCAACTTGATTCTAAACTAGGACGACATAGATCTAAACTAGGTCGGCTTAGATCTTGTTTTAACACATGTTTTTTTTCAAAACCTTAGTTTAACACACTCTCTCTATCTCTCGTTCGTTCTTTCTCTCTTTCTCTCTCTCGTTCTTTCTCTCTCGATCTCTCGTTCTCTCTCTCTCTCGTTCGTTCTCTCACTCTCGTTCTCTCTCTCTCTCTCTCAGTCTCTCTCTCGTTCGTTCTCTCTCTCCCATTCTCTCTCTCTCACGTTCTTTCTCTCTCTCGTTCGTCCTCTTTCGTCGTCCTCTCTCACTCGTCCTCTATCTCTCTCGTCCTCTTTCTCTCGCTCTCGCTCTCGCTCTCCGTTGTAAACGCTCTCCGTATTCGTTTCTTCCGTTTAGTGTCTCGTTCCCGTTCATTTCTTTCCTTTTATGCCTCGGTACATTATTCTCCTTGCTATTTGTTAGCTCTAACTCTTCAACACTCACATCATTCATTGTTTCATTTGTTTCTTCGTTGTTTCTCGTCTTTTCATCACACCTCATACCCTTATCTGTTTTTTTTTTGTACCGACTGGTTCTTTCCGTTCCTCCTTTCCACTTCTTAAACCCATTCCTCAGGAGCCTTGCTGGCCAGGAAGGCGATTTCAATCCAGAAAATGTTTATTGGTCACTTATATGATTTACCATATTGCCCTTTTAATGTTGATTTGCATTTTATTTATTATCGCGTGTTTTTGGCTGGGTTTGTCGGTTTTCGTGCCTCTGATTGTGTGAATGTGTTTGTGTTAGTGCATTCATATCATCTATCATTGCAATATCAATGCATGTCTGTCAATTTTAAAAAGGGGGTTCATTACTATCATTTCTCATTGGTTCACTGGCGCACTCAGTGACTCGCGTGTTTGCCACTTCGAACTGGATTTGATAGTGTGAACCCTCTTTTTAGAGTTAACAGATTGTATTTTTTCATGTGCTAGTTGATTATTCAAAGACTTTGCTATCGACTTCCCCCCCATGCTAGGCAGGGGATGCGGTAGCCTAGTTTTTGGGTCGTTAACTATCACGCATTTGTATGATATATCATATGTTGCATTTCAGCATTTCGTTTCATGCCAAAGCATTTTCATCCATGTATCAGTATTATGCATCTATATATCTTGTCGCATTACATTCATTTAAGCATGCGTGGTGTGTATTTCATTACTAATATTCGTAACATTCAATACGTGAAGTTATCACTACAACATCAAACAGTAAAAGATATAAAGTAAACAGTATAGCATGTAAGAAAAAAACAACTACAAAGAAATGCACAATGGGAAGGGTGGTATTGTAGCTTACGAATTTTATTTTCATGTAAAAAAAACATGAAAAGAAAATTTGTCAAAATCGATCGTAAAGGGTTGCTTCGCAACCCAAAAAACAATGCAGCCCATTAACCCATCCAACATTCGTCCGTACATTCCCGTGCTAGACAACCACACTCAACTCGACAGCCATCTTCCCTAATAGCTATATCCAAGACAGTCCTCACACTGCGCTGCCAACATACTATCGACATTCGCCAACGCACTCACAACATCCCGCCAAAGGTGAGATGCTACGTGCAGAGCGATCGATTGCTCGCCTATGTTGCGCATAAGAGGTCGTATCACGCTCAAGTAGAGCTCTGATCTCACTTGTTTTAATTGAGTCGTGTGACGGGCGTTCATCACAACTTCGCCCCACGCAATCTTGATATCGCGCCGCGATTTAGCCTTCGATGTACTAGGGTTTGGGAAACCATAAAAAATCGCACGTCACACGGGTAGTGCATAATTCGTCACACGTCCAGAATGAGCCTCTCACAAGCCCCACCACCTTGGCGCATTCATGTCCTCCAATCCGCTTATCTTGGATCTCATCCGCATTCATCGCCACTGATCGGCCTTCGTCTAGTATATATCCACATCCTTTGCCTCCCATACGCGCTCATCGCGTCCTGTCCGCATTCGTCGCCTCCCATCTCTTCAGTCGCGTCCCATCCCCCCGCAAATCCTCCCATCCGCCCTCATCTCCTCCCATCCGCCCTCATCTCCTCCCACCCACTTTCATCTCTTCCCATCCCCCCTCTTATCCTCCCATCCCCCCTCATATCCTAACATCCGCCCTCATATCCTCCCACCCCCCCTCATATCCTCCCATCTCCCCGCATATCCTCCCATCCCCCCGCATATCCTCCCATCCCCCCGCATATCCTCCCATCCGCCCTCATCTCCTCCCATCCGCCCTCATCTCCTTCCCACCCACCTTCATCTCTTCCCATCCCCCCTCTTATCCTCCCACCCCCCCGCATATACTCCCATCCGCCCTCATCTCCTCCCACCCACCTTCATCTCTTCCCATCCCCCCTCTTATCCTCCCATCCCCCCTCATATCCTAACATCCGCCCTCATATCCTCCCACCCCCCCTCATATCCTCCCATCTCCCCGCATATCCTCCCATCCCCCCGCATATCTTCCCATCCCCCCGCATATCCTCCCTTCCCCCCGCATATCCTCCCATCCGCCCTCATCTCCTCCCATCCGCCCTCATCTCCTTCCCACCCACCTTCATCTCTTCCCATCCCCCTCCCATCCCCCCGCATATACTCCCATCCGCCCTCATCTCCTCCCACCCACCTTCATCTCTTCCCATCCCCCCTCTTATCCTCCCATCCCCCCTCATATCCTAACATCCGCCCTCATATCCTCCCACCCCCCCTCATATCCTCCCATCTCCCCGCATATCCTCCCATCCCCCCGCATATCTTCCCATCCCCCCGCATATCCTCCCTTCCCCCCGCATATCCTCCCATCCGCCCTCATCTCCTCCCATCCGCCCTCATCTCCTTCCCACCCACCTTCATCTCTTCCCATCCCCCCTCTTATCCTCCCATCCCCCCTCATATCTTAACATCCGCCCTCATATCCTCCCATCCCCCCTCATATCCTCCCATCTCCCCACATATCCTCCCACCCCCCCGCATATCCTCCCATCCGCCCTCATCTCCTCCCATCCGCCCTCATCTCCTTCCCACCCACCTTCATCTCTTCCCATCCCCCCGCATATCCTCCCATCCCCCCGCATATACTCCCATCCGCCCTCATCTCCTCCCACCCACCTTCATCTCTTCCCATCCCCCCTCTTATCCTCCCATCCCCCCTCATATCCTAACATCCGCCCTCATATCCTCCCATCCCCCCTCATATCCTCCCATCTCCCCGCATATCCTCCCACCCCCCCACATATCCTCCCACCCCCCCGCTCCCATCCCCCCGCATATACTCCCATCCGCCCTCATCTCCTCCCACCCACCTTCATCTCTTCCCATCCCCCCTCTTATCCTCCCACCCCCCCGCATATCCTCCCATCCCCCCTCATATCCTCCCATCTCCCCGCATATCCTCCCACCCCCCCACATATCCTCCCACCCCCCCGCATATCCTCCCATCCCCCCGCATATCCTCCCATCCCCCCGCTCCCATCCCCCTGCATATACTCCCATCCGCCCTCATCTCCTCCCACCCACCTTCATCTCTTCCCATCCCCCCTCATATCCTCCCATCCCCCCTCATATCCTCCCATCTCCCCGCATATCCTCCCATCCCCCCGCATATCCTCCCATCCGCCCGCGTATCCTCCCATCCCCCCTCATATCCCCCCATCCCCCCTCATGTACCATTTGCCCTGCCCGTTCCCATCGGCCCATGCAGCTACAACATTTGATTTTGATGGAGCAACAATCGTCGCAAACTGGCCAAAGTCAGGGGTCCTTGCGTCCTAGCCTGATGCACCGACTGGAACATCTTGGGTTATAGTTTGCAAACTCTGCAATACAGGCTGAAGGTCGTCAGGGGGTGGGTCAGAGACATAAAGTACTTGCAGGGCGAGCTTGGAACAGGTGTCGATTGGGACCCTGAACGTAACACCCTCAGGCCCGACCCTAACGTGAGTCTCTCTTATGGTCACTAACCACATTATACTTTCCCCGCTAGTTGCATGCGCAAATATGTGTTCCTGGGTAGCTCTCCCATCCCATGGTCAACCAAGTGTCTATCCTACTGGTGACGCATGCGTACTGTCCTTATTTGTTCCGCAAGTGTTTTTTCGGTGATCCATCTCTCCTCCAAGAACCTTTGCTTCATCCCGTCTATGTTCAACAGCTTCCCTTTATGCAGAGGATTAAGAACCAGCCCCGTTGGAAGAACCTTAAACGCTGGAAGAAGCACACTGCCCCTTGGCTGCGGCTTGCGGAGGTGCTGGTCGCAGAAAATGGCGATCGAGGGAACAACGCTATGACGGGCGACGACGTCTTGCAGGAGTTCACCAATGACCCGGGCATATGGGATACTGAGAATGAGACATCCGGTCAAGGTGCTTCTTCTGAACCACCACCTTCCACCCAACGCGAAAGCGGTCCTACATCGCAGGGGCCCAATAGTTCATCCCGGATGGACACAGCACCATCCGGCTCACAGGGTACAGGGGGGGGGTGGACGTGGCCGAGCTTCCGGCTCCCCGGGGGGAGTTGGCGGGGCTATACCCCGCAGCGAGTCTCCCAGCAATGCGGGTGGGGCTGCTCCCCGTGGGCAGCCATACCCGGGAAGCCCCAGTGGAGAGAAAGATGGTGGGGGGGGGACAGGCCAGCCCGTCACACCAGCAAGAGAGCAACAAGAGGCGACGTTATGAGGGCTCGAACGTCGCCCGCAGTCTCCATACCATGGCAGAAACCACGCAAAAGGGAATCGACGTTACTATCCGCAGTAAGTAAACCAACATACTGTCAATCATCCCTCCACCTTTGCATCCCCGCTGTCCCACCAAGTGACCTTGCTAACTGCAGCCCAAGGTCACCAAGTGACCTTGCTAACTGCTTAGCAAGGTCACCAAGTGACCTTGCTAAATGCAGCCCATGGTCACTTGGTGACCATGCTAACTGCATAGCAAGGTCACCAAGTGACCTTGCTAACTGCAGCCCAAGGTCACCAAGTGACCTTGCTAACTGCATAGCAGGGTCACCAAGTGACCTTGCTAAATGCAGCCCAAGGTCACCAAGTGACCTTGCTAACTGCAGCCCAAGGTCACCAAGTGACCTTGCTAACTGCAGCCCAAGGTCACCAAGTGACCTTGCTAACTGCTTAGCAAGGTCACCAAGTGACCTTGCTAAATGCAGCCCATGGTCACTTGGTGACCATGCTAACTGCATAGCAAGGTCACCAAGTGACCTTGCTAACTGCAGCCCAAGGTCACCAAGTGACCTTGCTAACTGCATAGCAGGGTCACCAAGTGACCTTGCTAAATGCAGCCCAAGGTCACCAAGTGACCTTGCTAACTGCAGCCCAAGGTCACCAAGTGACCTTGCTAACTGCAGCCCAAGGTCACCAAGTGACCTTGCTAGCTGCATAGCAAGGTCACCAAGTGACCTTGCTAACTGCATAGCAAGGTCACCAAGTGACCTTGCTAACTGCATAGCAAGGTCACCAAGTGACCTTGCTAAATGCAGCCCAAGGTCACCAAGTGACCTTGCTAACTGCTTAGCAAGGTCACCAAGTGACCTTGCTAAATGCAGCCCATGGTCACTTGGTGACCATGCTAACTGCAGCCCAAGGTCACCAAGTGACCTTGCTAACTGCATAGCAAGGTCACCAAGTGACCTTGCTAAATGCAGCCCAAGGTCACCAAGTGACCTTGCTAACTGCAGCCCAAGGTCACCAAGTGACCTTGCTAACTGCATAGCAAGGTCACCAAGTGACCTTGCTAACTGCAGCCCATGGTCATTTGGTGACCATGCTAACTGCATACCAAGGTCACCAAGTGACCATGCTAACTGCAGCCCATGGTCACCAAGTGACCTTGCTAAATGCAGCCCATGGTCACTAAGAGACCATGCTAACTGCAGCCCAAGGTCACCAAGTGACCTTGCTAACTGCATAGCAAGGTCACCAAGTGACCTTGCTAAATGCAGCCCATGGTCATTTGGTGACCATGCTAACTGCATAGCAAGGTCACCAAGTGACTATGCTAACTGCAGCCCAAGGTCACCAAGTGACCTTGCTAACTGCAGCCCAAGGTTACCAAGTGACCTTGCTAACTGCATAGCAAGGTCACCAAGTGACCTTGCTAACTGCATAGCAAGGTCACCAAGTGACCTTCCTAAATGCAGCCCAAGGTCACCAAGTGACCTTGCTAACTGCAGCCCAAGGTCACCAAGTGACCTTGCTAGCTGCATAGCAAGGTCACCAAGTGACCTTGCTAACTGCAGCCCATGGTCACCAAGTGACGTTGCTAAATGCAGCCCATGGTCACCAAGTGACCTTGCTAACTGCAGCCCAAGGTCACCAAGTGACCTTGCTAACTGCTTAGCAAGGTCACCAAGAATGAGCAACTCAACTCTGCGTGAATCGCCAACTGAGTGCAAGAGCTCTCTGTCGGATGAGGGTTTACAGAGGAAGAACGTTTAGAGGGAATTGTGGGGTGGGAGGTGGAGCTTGAGTTGAGGAAAGGAATGTGAGACGTACATGCTTTGGATGTTGGTGGTGAAGGCACGGGGGATGGAACCAGACAGATAGTTGAATGAGAGGTGTCTGCAACGGGAGGGGGGAAGAAAGAGCAGCGCTAAAGTCCATGAACAGGGGGGCGGGACAGAGCGAGCAACGAAATGGTGAGAGAGCGAGGGTTGGGAGGGGCAAGCGGCGTGGATGCTGGGAACTTACATTGCAGTGAGGGCTGTTAGGGCAGAGAGGGTGGCGGGGATGGTGCCTTGAAGATGGTTTTAACCCAAAGCCCTGAAACAAGATGAAGGCGGAGCTGTAAGTTGCATATGCAGGTAAGTACTGGGGTTGACAAGATATGCATTCACTGGGTTTCAGCTTAACGGATTGGAAACAGCACCTAAGAAGGATGACAGAATGGGATGGGGACATGGCAGCATGACAGTATGGGAACATGGCAGCATGCCAGCATGGAATCATGGCACGATGAACACGGGGAGTCATGGCAGTGGCTCACAGGTATTGCAGGTTCAGGAAAGATGAGAAGCTCTTAGGCACGTATCCCTCCAGGTTGTTTCCAAAGAGAGATCTGCAGTGTGTGCCACCAGGCACGAGACGCACGGCACGAGGATTACACAAGGAGGAACTTGCGCAGAATCACAGCACACCTGATGACCTCTCCTGCCTGCCTGGTGGCCTCTCCTACTGCAGCTGCAGCAATGAGCCTAGCCATTCCCACACTCGTACAACGAAATGCTTGGGCCTCTGCGTCATGTCTGGTGATGTGACTGAAGGTTGCGAATTCTGCACACTGCACTCACAGGCTCGTGAGTGCGGTGAGGTGCGAGATGTCATCAGACAACAGCCCCTGCCACCGCGGCTCATCCCCATTCACGTTGCTGCATGGGCAGGGGGACAAGGGCAGGGGGACAATGGCAAGGGGACAAGAGAACAGGAACAGCAGCAGTCGGGGGGACAAGGGCAGGGAGTCTAGGGATTTGGGACAAGGAGGACAGGGCATGCTTGCGAAACTTCCCACACTTGAACAAGGAGAGACCACGCCCATGGCATGCATGGTTCCAGCCGGTGCGTCGTGTGTGCAGCAGCAAGGGTGGTAGGTGTGTGGCAATGGCAATGGCTCACAGACACTGAAGGTTGTAGAGGTGAGTCACCCAGGCAGGGAATTCCAAGGCCCGCAGGAACGACAAATCACTGCAGGGGAGAATGCAGTGGGATGGCAAGGGGACGGCACAGGGATAAAGTCACGGCAGAGGGCTGGGCTCGTGCTAAATGGGGAGTCAGTGAAAACCTTCTCGTACACGTGAACAAGCATGCTTTATTTGAACTACTCTTGGACCCGTATGCAGCTGACTCAAAGTGCAGTGAGGGCTGTGAGGTATCGGATCTTCCTGGGTATCTCCCCCATGGCATTGGTGAGCGAACTGAGTGTCCTGCGCACATGCACATGCACACACATGGAGAAGAGTCAACACCACCAAGGCACAATAAGAGTCAACACTACCAAGGCACAATGAGAGTCAACACTGCTACCAAGGCTATAAGAGGTGACAAGAAGGTCAGTTCACACACTGACTGATTTGAACTACACGAGTTGACGCATCAAGGCAGCACCGGCTCCCAGCGCACCGGAATCGAGCTTACAGGCTTTGAAGATTCTCCAGATGAGAGAGAACGTGCAGAGCGGACAAGCTTCCCGTGAATTCCACCAAGCCAAGTATATGCCTGGTGGGTGGTTGTGAAAGGGTTGTGGGACGTACGAGAAGCTTTGGGGCGGGTGGACGGTGGGGCACACGACATGGGGCTTGTACACAAGTTGCTGGAGAAATGTGCGTGGCGTGCAGCAATGTGGGCAGCATGGCATATGTGCGAAATGGGAGTGCCAACTGCATGCTGAGTGGCACAGTTATCGGGGCGTGTGAGCTGAGAGGAGGGCGTGGCAGTGTGCAGAGCATACAGCGATTGCAGGTTGGAGAGGGAGGAGAGCCAGGCCAGTCCCTCGTAGGTGCCAGTCAGCTGGCTGCCGTCTGCTCCCATGGCTCTGAGGACATGCCACACATGCAGTCAGCCATGCCGCACATGCAGTCAGCCATTCCACACAAGCAATCACCCATGCCATACATGCAATCAGCAATGCCAAACATGCAGGTCAGTGGTAGAACGAACATTAACTGTGAGAAAGGAGCAAGAATTGGCGATAACCTTTGTTTGGCTGTAGAGGAGAGAAGGAGCGCAGTGCATTGTATTGCCAGCAGCGGAGGCGGGGCACGTACAGGAGAGTGAGCTTGGAGAGACTTGCGAGAGATGGGACAGGGCCCATCAACTTGTCGTTTGTGAGATCTCTATGGACGTGGGGAGGCACGACGCAAGATCGAAGGAAGGAGAGAGGCGGAATGAGGCGTGCAGTGCGATTCCTTGGTACAGGTCACATCCAAGCTGCTGCACCAACCGCTGCAGAGCGTGCAAAGGTAGCAAGCAGGGGGGGTTGGTTGTGGCTTATCAAACAAGTGGGCTGTGAGATGGGGGGATCATGGACGATTAAGCACAGCTGCCATTGGCAAGAACAGGAGGGACTGTGATGGGTGGCAAAAGAGTAATGGCAAAGTGCATGCAATGCAGAGTGGATGGAGGCGGGGAGGGTGGGTGGGGACGGACAGGTACTGCAGAGCAGCGAGGTTGGTGATGGAGGTGGGTATGGCGGCGCTGCCATCCACCGCCACGGCCTTTGAATCCCTGCCACCCACCACACGCACGCAACCACACCATGCTCACATCCCTTCCCACCCCTTCAAACCACCCCTTTACACATCCCCTCCCACCACCCCGCCTCCAACACTTTTCCCAACGCCCCCTCTTCCATGCCCCTACCCCATCCCACTCAGTCGTCTCCTCCCAATTCTTGCCCCCATTTCTCAACACCGCTCACAGTCCATCCCATCCAGAACAGAAACAGGTGATGCACAGGAATCTGTGCATGTGTTGCAGATGTTTCTAGACTCCAGGAGAGCCGAGGCGCATGAATCACGCAATTGGAGTGAAGCGCACGTGATAGAGAAATGCAACCCAGGTGGGTGTATTTGTGGTGTCAGGCCAGGGTGCACATGTCGAAATCTCCCCTATGAAAATCTCCGCACTCCTCGACAGGGGCGGTTCCTTGGCATAGGATACCATGTGCCACCAATTCACACTTCCGAGCCTCCTGTGCCGCACAGTCACCTGGGGGTTGTAAATTTCGGGTGGTCAGGCCTTTTTTTGGAGATGCCGAACATCCCTGCCACTGCGCGAAACATTCCCTTGGCACATTCATGGCTGCGGGGGAACATTTTCTCCATGTGCACGGGAACGCTCTCTCACTATTGTTTGCGGGCAACTCATCCTCTCCTGGGCCTCAAATATAACCTTTGACTCAGTGGGTAGCGAAGCATTAGAAATGAGGGTGGTCACGTGGGGCAATGGTGGGAGCAATGGGGACAATGGAGGCATTGGCACTCACAATGAGATGACCAGTCCGTTGGGGCTGCATGTCACGCCCGGCCACGCAGAGCAAGCAGTGGTGCCGTTGATGTTGCCCACCCACGCGCCCCACGTCGCCTGCACCTTCACAATCTCGCTCACTACGCATGCAATGAGCGCTCGACAGAATGAGGGGAGGGTTGATGAACGTCGTAACCCTATACGGTATATTGTTACATCCAATCTACTCAATAGCTCTCAGAGCCAAAATGTTGCTGACCCAAACCTGACCTTGACACGAATCTGGCCGTAAGCTAACCCGAAAGTCACCAGAAAGAAAATTTGTAGCTACAGGCTGTAGCTACAATATATGTACATAGTATGAGGGCCAACAGTTTTGGGACGCACAGGCACAGGCGGCTCAGGCACAGTCTGCAGCTCAGGCACTGTTATCTGCGCGCGTTACAACAGTCCAATTCAGCGAGCTGACGTTGCGACGCCTCCAAAGCCACGGGCCTTTGCGGACGCGGACGCGGCCGCGGTGGCGGCGGCATCAAGCTTGAGGAGTTGCGAGCGCTGGGCGCGGATGGGCCGAGCAACGGCAGGAGACAGCACGCGCTGGTTAGGCCGATGGGGGGCTTCTCGCTGCGGCAGTGGGTGATTGGCGGAAGAGAAGGAGCAATCTGCGGCGGTGGAAAGCCGCAAGGGCCGCGCAAATGAGAAGCTGCGCTGCTGTATCTGTACGCATTGACCACTGAGGCGCAACGCGGCTGCGCGTGGGAGAGGAACGAGTTTTATGTATGGCAGACATTGGAACTCGTTTAATGTACGGTGGACTAGTAGTACATTCCTCCTAGACATCTGCTAACTGCATCGGTGTGGCAAGAATTCATGGTGTAGCTACTTCACCCAAAATTGCAGGTCAAAAAAGTAACTTCAATGTTTTGTGGAGTTACTTTCCCCAGGCAATTGGCTCACGCCCAGACCCAACAAGTGTCAGCTGTGAAGTTCGGGTCAGCTTCGCGACAGGTCTTTCCCTGGTTTTCAGGTTTGGCGCCGACCAGAGTGAGCGCGTTTCATCGCGCGCCTAAGCTATCCTGACTGACGGTCTGCGAAGTCAATGGCGACGTTACAAGACTGAGAACTCTCGCAAACTTTGCCGGCGGCAAAAACAAGAGCAGAGGGATCTGAATACTCGATTGAAGTTAGGGTTCTGTGAGATAACTGTAACATACAGCATGTTTTAAAGAAGAAACTGAGAATATGGAGAAAATCCATCAAATGGTTTCTGAAGAAACATGTGTTGCTAAACATTGGAGCAAAGCCAAAGCAAACAACCTTCTTCACTGACTTCGACGTCTGCCGCTCCACCTCCTTCAGACATTTTTAAAGACGACCAACACGTCGCTTTTCTTCGCAGTCGGCCTCACCCACACATTGCGAGTCTTCCTATCCTTCAGCGGAAGAGACTAGAGGCTACCGTCGTTGTCGGCCACCCGAAATGGCCCGCAGAGGTCGATGTGCACCATATCGAGCGCATTTTTGGCATCCGATCCTTGGTTTGGGAAGGTGTGCCGTGCATGTCTGCCGCGACGCAGGAGGCACACGGAAGATCAGCTGCGGTTGACTTCTTGATGTCCAGACCGGCGGCGACCTCGTGTTTCGCCGAGCTCTTGATCGTGTCGACGCCGACGTGCGCAAGCCGTGCGTGCATCATGTCCGGGGTCAACTTCGTCGCCGACGGGATAGTCCGTAGAGCTACTACCTCCATCAAAGTCATCGTCGACTTTATCGACCAGGGGCGCAGGTCGGTGCAAACAATTCTGCCGGAGCAGCATGCTCGACCAAGGACATCGCCGGCAGAAGACACCAGCAGCATCTCTCCGCCGTCGTCCTGCAGCTTCACGCCGTTCTCCTTGAGTTGGCCAGCAGACAGCAGGTTCGCATGCACACCCAGAACGTAGAGTACGTCGGGGACGAGGACCTGCTTCCCGGCCTCCCCTTGCAGAGCAACAGTGCCGCTGCCTTTGACGCTCTGAAGTGCCCCGTTGAAGCGGCGGACGTGGCGAACGTCGCCGCTCGGCTGCATGTCGAAAAATACCTCCTTCATCCCCATCAGATGGTGGGAGCAGCCGCTGTCGAGCAGCACAACAATCGGATTGGCCTGCAAAGGAGCAACCACCGCCTTAAAGTCTTTGCCAGCCTCCAGCGCTAGTGAGATCGTCGGCTCCACCACGCTGACCATCGAGCAGGAAGCCTCCTCGCCACGAGCATTGCCGCCAAAGTAGTCAGCATCCTTTGTCGAAGTCGTCTTCGACGGTTGCTTCTCCTTGCGTGGCTGGTTGTCCCAATCACAACGGCCATCTTCTCCCTTTCTGCAGTTGGCGTCACTGTCATCGTCCGACTCGTCTCGGTCAGGGCAGTCGTACGAGAGGTGGTCGAGAGCATCGCAGATGTAGCAACGGCGGCCTTCTCAACGCGAGCTACTGCTGCCGCGATCTCCACCTTTTGCCGACTTCCCGCGGTCGGCGCCCTCCGTCGATTTCGCGTTCGACGACTTCCCACCACCGCCTCCAGCAGACTTCCCATGCTGCCCCTATTGGCTCCCCCATCCGAATGTTGGTCAACGTCTTCTCAAGTTGACTGATGAAGAGGTCGACGGTCGCTTTGTAGGTGCGCATGATGTACTGTCACGCTTGGTAGCCAGCATCCACCCGCTGTCTACACGACTTCAATGCGACCTGCACCAGAGGTGAGCAACACCTCGAAATAACCATGAAGGTCAGTAGATGAGCAGCGTGAAATTCTGTCCAGAGTTCAGAATCATGTGCGTCCGGCGTCGCAACATTGCCGTTGATGAACTTATTTAATCCAGCGATCTCCAGCTGCGGCTCAATGGATTCAATCCACGTGATCAAGTCTTGTCGACCTTTGAGCGACTTCGGCACAGCGATCTTGTCCGGCAAGAATTTAAATTATTCGTATGCCCGCGCGATGCCTCTGTCTCGACCAGCCGACGCATGAGTCGCCGAAGTTGGTTTGACCATCGATGTTGCCGTTCGAGCTGCCTCCAGTCGCAGACGATCGCAACACTTGCGCCTGCATTCCGCCAACGCTGCCGTCGGCGGGCCAAATCACTCCGCGAACCCTCGTGCTTCCACCGCCGACAACATTTCCGCCATCGCCTTCGTTGTGTACGGTTTGGGGAGAAGCGGACGCGTCATCCGCTTCTGCACAGGGAGGGGGGTGCTCACGCGCCCAGTGAACACGAGTTCCAAGGAGCTGAATCTCCAAGTTTGCCTCGCCGTACCCGCCAGCCTTGTGGTGTGCCCGAACACCAGCCTCTTTTGCCTGCAGGGTATCTTCTGCGCTTGCTTCGACCACGGTGTCGACCAAGGCGACTAAGACGGCTGCCGACCTAACAACAACTTAGGTAATGAACGCACAAGTCGACTATCTGAACGTTCTAACGCGGGGCCGTCCACGCTCACAGCAACATGCGAAGAATATTATTCTACAGGAGAGCTTGAATAACGTGGGACACACGGTTAGAGTTCTGGCAGTGATTCTCAGAAGTGAACTTAGTTGCCTTGGTAGAATTCAAGCATAGTTCCACTAGCAAAAGTTCATAGAACAAGAATATGGTACAAGCAAGGAGAACCAAACAGCTAAGACAATGAACCCTGTAGAAACGTTCCTCGACAAGCACCTGAATCTGTCGAGTCAGCAACAGCAGTTGAAACGACAAACACATACATATTCCACCTGAGTTGGTAGTTGCTCAGGTTTACAACGTTCATAGTTGTGCACGTTTTTACTATTAGTAAAAACGTGTTACAGGTTCAGTTTCCTTATTGAATCAAATGTCAAATTATAATGTTGTCTAGGCTTTAGTGGGGTAGCCCATATTGGGTACACATTTCTAGGGTTGCATATTTGTATCACTTTCATTCCATAGTCAATTTCATTCTCGTTCTAATTTCCTCATGGTATCGAGCAGGTTCCCCCTAAGGAACTGTGCCTAGGGCCCACCACATCGAGTTATTTTTTTTTCCTGCCCGAGTCGCGCTCCGAGCTCTCGCTTCGTCGAAACGCCCTAGCGGCCCCGCAGCCCGTCGATTCGGCCCCGCCGCCCTTCGCTGCGGCCCCGCCGCCCTTCGCTGCGGCTCCGCCACCCTTTACTGCGGCCCCGCAGCCCTTCACTGCGGCCCCGCCGCCCTTCACTGCGGCCCCGCCGCCCGTCTCAGCGGCCCCGCCGCCCTTTACTGCGGCCCCGCCGCCTCTCTCGCTGTGGCCCCGCCGCCCTTCTCAGCGGCCCCGCCACCCTTCGCTGCGGCTCCGCCGCCCTTCGCTGCGGCCCCGCAGCCCTTCACTGCGGCCCCGCCGCCCTTCACTGCGGCCCCGCCTCCCGTCTCAGCGGCCCCACCGCCCTTTGCTGCGGCCCCGCCGCCTCTCTCGCTGCGGCCCTGCCGCCCTTCTCAGCGGCCCCGCCGCCCTTCGCTGCGGCCCCGCCGCCCGTCTCAGTGGCCCCGCCGCCCTTCGTTGCGGCCCCGCCGCCTCTCTCGCTGCGGCCCCGCCGCCCTTCTCAGCGGCCCCGCCGCCCTTCTCTGCGGCCCCGCCGCTTCTCTCACTACGGCCCCGCCGCCCTTCTCAGCGGCCCCGCCGCCCTTCACGGCGGCCCCGCCGCCCTTCACTCCGGCCCCGCCGCCCCTCCCACTGCGGCCCCGCCACCTACCTTGCGGCCCCGCCGCCCTACCAGCGGCCCTACCGCCCTACACCGCCCGCGCCGCCCGAGCCGCCCGAGCTGCCCGAGCCGCCCGAGTTGCCCGAGCCGCCCGAGCCGCCTGAGCCGCTGAGGAGCCGAGCCGCCCGAGCAGCCCGAGCCGCCCGACCTGCCCGAGCCGCCCGAGCCGCCTGAGCCGCTGAGGAGCCGAGCCGCCCGAGCCGCCCGACCCGCCCGAGCCACCCGAGCCACCTGAGGAGCCGAGCCGCTGGTGCCGCGGAGCCGCAGTTGCTGCTGAGCCGTCCGAGCAGCCGTGTTGCCGTGTTACTGTGCTACTGAGCTGCCACAACCGCCCTGTCTGGTGAGAGCAGCGCTTCTGTCACTGCACTGCCCGTGTCCTACAGTTGGTACTACTAGTCTACTGTTGTCATGGCTACCCTAGTGTC